GGTGTTACAATCCCACCGGAATCCTCTTTAACATAAAATTACAATCACAAAATGGAGGCCAACCACACAATTCTGGGAATCATGGCCCAGCCAAATTGATACACACTTTTTTTGGGGGGACATAATTCAAACCATGACACTTATTTTAAAACTTAAATACTTATATACTTATACTTACTAGGTTATGTAGCATCCATTACATTTTTTGTATTTTTATGTCCTAAGAATGTAAATTATGTACTATTTTTGCCTTTTTTGTTGATAATTAAATTGAATTTTTCAATTATAATTAGAAAGTTCCAGATATTTTCATGTTATTATTAGAATGAACTATTTATAAAGTTCATTGCCATAAATATCTGTATTTGAGATGCCACTTTGAGTTTTTTAAACCATACTACTTTCAAAAAACATTTTTTTAAATTTATAATCCTATTCAGTTTCATTTTAATTATTTTTGCACCTAAAACCCTTTAGTGAGTCAACAAACCTTATAAATTAAGTTTGCATTTCATAGTCTATAAGATCCCAATCTTTACAATTTTGTAGAGCCTAGTGAATTTATCTTATAGGCAATAAAGCAATCTTAGGAATTCTGACCTCAAAATAGAAAAATTCTTATTAAAAACAATATTTTCAGTATGAAAATATGTGTATTTTATGTCAGTTCTGTCATCCTTAGTAACAAGTGACTTAATGTGTAAGCATTTATTATAAATTCAAGTACAAAATAAAGGTCGGCTCCCTAAGGTATTAGATTGGTACAGTTGATTGTATAGCAATGTTTATTTGTGACTATTATAGGTATAATTATCATAATAAATATGACTTTTAGAGGAAACTGCTATGTTTCTGGAAAAGTAACAATTCCAATTTTCTTGAGAAGAGAGAATAGCAGCATGAAGGAGTGCATTGAACCATCTACACCCATTTAAGGCCCCAAGTTGTACATGCAGCATGGCAGGGTGGGGCCTGAGGATGGCTTCTGGGGACTAGGATATGACCTACCACCATTGCATCTCTGTGGCCTAGCCAAATTCTTGGCACCATAATTAGGATTCCAAAAGTGTTTGCTAAATGTGCAGAATATATCAGCTTCACTTCTGGGTTGTGCCATCAAAATGTTGTAAGCCTCTGAGACGTAGTTGGCCCCTAGGTACCAACCCTGATAGGTATGAGTAAGCAGAGAGGTAGCACCACATCTTCTCAGTACATATTCTGAAGCTTGAATTCATGACTCAGTTTCCAAACACTTCCTGAACGTTGGCTGTGAACTTGAATCATTAAGAATCATTTTATGGACGAGGTCCCATAGTCTCCGGGGACATCTAGGTCAATTGGCATGTCAGAATCCATATAGATAGTGTTCTACATCCTACCTTGGTTAGTAGCGACTGGGGTCTTAAAAGCTTGTGAGTGGCCATCTAAGATACAATTGGTCTCTTCCCATCTGGAGCAAAGAAGAGTGAAGAAAACCAAAGACTCAAGGAAACAGTTAGTCCAAAGGACTAATAGACCACATGAACCACGGCTTCCAGTAGCCTGAGACCAGGAGAACTAGATGGTGCCCGGCTACCACTACCAACTGCTCTGACCAGGACCACAATAGTAGGTCATGGACAGAGTGGGAGAGACATGTAGAACAAAATTAAAATTCATAAATTAGACCAGACTTACTGGTCTGATAGTGACTGGTGGAACCCCCAAGACTATGGCCCTTAAACACCCTTCAACCTTGGAACTGAAATCACTCCCGGAGATCACATTATAGCCTTACAATAGACAGGTCTAAAATGAACAATAACACCAGTGAGGAATGTACGCCTCAGAACAATCAACTATACAAGACCTAAAGGGCAGCATTTGCCCAAAAGCAAAGTTCGGAAGGACAGTAGGGGCAGGAAAGCTAGGCAAATGGACACACAGAACCCAGGGCAGAAGGAGAGAGTGCTGACACATTCAGGGGCTTGCACCCAATGCCACGAAGCAAGCTGTGTATAAATTGTTGAATAGTAAACTAATTTGTTCTGTAAACTTTCACCTAAACGACAATAAAATGTTAAAAAAGAAAAAATCATGGGAGCTATTTTCATTTCTTCCTTGTCAATCCAGTTCCTGCTTGATCACAAAATGGTAATCCAAAACCAAAAACCAAACCCATTGCCGTTGAGTTGATTCCAGCTCATAGCAACCCTATAGAACAGAGTAGAACTGCCCAGTAGGGATTCCAAGGAGCAGCTGGTGGATTTGAACTGCCAACCTTTTGGTTAGCAGCCGAGCTTTTAACCACTGAGCGACCATAATAATTATAATATTTAGCTTAAATTGTGTACCAGACCCTGTGCTAACCGATTTAGATGTGTCATTTCATTAACCCTTACATCCTAATGTTATTATTAGTACTGCTATGAATTGTTACTCCCCCACCCCGGTTTTCATTGAAAGGAACTCTGGTGGTGTAGTGGTTAAAGTACTGGAAAAATTGGCGGCTCGAACCCACCAGCCGCTCCACGGGAGAAGGATGTGGCAGTTGGCTTCTGTAAAGATTATAGCCTTGGAAACCCTATGGGGCAGTTCTACTCTGTCCTACATGGTTGATATGATTCGCAATTTTTTTCACTGAGGAAGTGAAAGCACAGAGACGTTAAGAAACTCACACAGTGAATAAGAAGCCGAGCTGATGTTTGAGCTAAGGCAGTCTGATACCAGTGCCCAAGGCCTGTACCAGGTGATGGGGCTGTAATGGTGAAAAAACACAGGGCCTTTCCTCATTGAGCTTATAGTCTAGCAGGGGAGACATAAAGAGGCAGTCGCGTTCTTCAGGACCAGTGCTAGGTAGGGATAGAGTCGTGTGCTGTGGGAACACATGTTAGGGTTCCTATGCCACAGATCATAATGGTCAGATCCGCAGCCCATCATGGGGATGGTGCAGGTCTGGGCAGTGTTTGGTTCCGTTGTGTGTGGGATCACCATGAGTTGGGCTGCCATGAATTGGGGCAACTCGACAGTACCTCACAATAACAACAACAAATGCCAAACCAGGGATCAGGGAAGGGAGGATGGATAGAAGGTAACCAAGCAAAGAAGTTGGCTTATCATAGTGGGCAAACAAGATATTATAATCAATTTTGAAGTTATTATGTGCTTTGAAAAATAATAGGATTTGGCAGCAATCATGTGTTTTCATTTTTATCTTTATTACCATCTGATCCTTCATGACAGCCTATGTCATGAATTGTATTGTGTCCCCCAAAAAATATGTGTATTGATTTGGCTAGGGCATGATTCCCAGTGTTGTGTGGTTGCCCTCCATTTTGTGATTGTAATTTTACATTAAAGAGGATTAGGCGGGGATTGTGACACCACCCTAACCCAGGTCACATCCTTGAGCCGATGTAAAGGGAGTTTCCCTGGGATGTGGCCTGCACCACCTTTTGTCTCTTGTAAGAGATAAAAGGAAAAGGAAGCAAGTAGAGAATTGGGGACCTCATAACACCAAGAAAGCAGTGCCAAGAGCAGAGCGTGTCCTTTGGACCTGGGGTCCAAATGCTGGGGGAACAATGATGAGAAGGCTGACAGAGAGAGGAAGCCTTCCCCTGGAGCTGACAACCTGAATTTGGACTTTTAGCCTACTTTACTGTAAGGAAATAAACTTCTCTTTGTTAAAACCATCCACTTGTGGTATTTCTGTTACAGCAGCACTAGATGACTAAGACAGCCTACTAAATTGATTAAATCATCAAAGCAGTGAGTATGATACTTTTTTTTATAATTCTGCTGGGGATCTTTCTGATATGGTCCCATATCACAAACTCATCAGTAAGATGGCTGGGGCTGGGAGGGGAAATAAATGCTAAATCATCTAGCGGTTGTTCCCACACAACTGACTGGAAGATTTATATCACATCAGCCTGGAGAGAAATAAAAAGTAGTATTAGAAAAAGCAGACACTAGATTAGATTTATTTTTGTGTTTTGCAGATTTTTTCCTTCATTTTTTATTATGAAATATTTTTTACCTACAAGATGATGTATTATATATATGTAAGTTACAACAAATAATAATAAAGCCAATATCTGAGTATCTATCACTCAGCTTAATGGAATATTTCCAATACATCCCCTGGTTTTCTGATAATAGCATCACCCTATTTCCTCCCTAACAAGAACAATTTCTTCCCTG